CACTAGAAGGTTGGAGGCTATCAGCCATCACTAGAAGGTTGGAGGCTCAAGCCGAAGCATCTTCCAACGACGTGATGACTGGGGCGTCCAGATTCCAAAGCGTACAGCACAGAATATATACGGGCTCAGGCGGCTTATAGAAGTACGCGCCGTTCTAAGGCTTCACGCAGGGGTGCGGGCCCGAAGCAAACCCTATATCTGTTGGTTCGGGCCCAGATTCTTAGGGTAGTCCCGTTTGGGCTCTCCGTTTTGGTTCGATTGGGCGGGTCGGGGTGGGTGGATGCCAGGGGGGTCGGAAGACCACCGGTCACCGCCGTGCGAGCGGAGCGGAGCTTCGTCGATCTCCTCCGCTTCATCGGTCGCCTCGCAGGCCTCGCTTGGTCGCCAGGACCGACACCAGTCGAGGTGTCTATGTCCATAGCCTCTTAGAGGTGATTCGAGGTGTCCACAAACCACTAAACTTGGTTTCGGTCCTGGTCGAGGGTCGGTGGTCTATGGTAGTCAATCAACTCAGTTTAGATCTATCAAATCCCGAGCAAGGCCAACCCTTCCCATATATGAGCTGCTGAGGTCCTGGCATCATGCGATTACTGGGTGATGCTGGTGTGTAATTGTCCGAACCGCGTGTCTCCAACCAAACTGGGACACACGCGTTGCAAGGAACTTGGAGGATGTTTTGAACGGTGCAAGAATGGAACTTACCACAAACAAAAAGAAGTTGTGTTCTAGAATGTCAGATTTTGTTCACTGAGCGTCATGTTTAACACATGTGCGATCGTAGCTGAGATCAAATTCTGGAATGGGATCTGTATAGGTCAGTGTAGGCCAATGGGATGTCTGTTGGACTTTGGCCAGTGTTTGTTGCCGGCATCTTTCTTCATCTTGGAGCACTTCGTGTCCACAGTGCAGACACTATAAAACTCCAGCCGTACCTTCTGAGAAGGTATGACTGGACCCTCCTGGCACCCACCCCAGTCCCACTTTCTTAGAATGCACTTGGAGCTGTACGGTGAACGATTCATTTGAGTGTTTTGGCCGTATAGCTGTTACATGCCAGTCAGTAGTTGCTCCAGCGTAATTGGTCTGTGAGATAGGCGAGGCGGCGAGGTGGTGAACTAAATGCAAGAATGTTAGTACTCATCCATCACGTAGGATTGAATAGCAAAACGCGGGATTGACTTGCAGACCACGCTGGGGATTGACTTGCAGACCATTTGTTGATATAATAGTCATATATATTTAACATAAATAGGCATATACAGTAGCTCATTTTATGGATTGATTCTAATATAATAGTAATAGCCTTAGCTAAAATTAGCTAAATAGGTTTATATAGATTTCCGCTGTAGAATCCTCAAAATGAACCTTCCAACAACGAAGCACACTTCCGGTCGTTGCAGGTGCAGGGACCGACCTCCTCAGCCTCCCACTCCCCCGAGTTCGGGCCTCGTCCCATTGCACGGTGGTCGGCGAAGTCGACGCAAAGAACTGGCGCGTCGAACCGATCCAAGGAGGGAACGAGGTGGAAGAGGAAGATGAAGGGGGGGGGCGATTTGGCATGTACAAACACCACCCAGTTTGGATGGCTTTTTGGGATGGTCAGCATGTGAGGATGGTTTTGGAGCATTGGAGGATGGTCAAGTACAGGGCCAGGGGATCTCTGAACCACCCGAACTGGGTGACGCGATTGCGCTGGTACCTATCAATGAGTGGTTCACGCAAATAGGCGGGGTACCCCTTCTCGAACATATCCATCAATCACGGTGGGTTTGACTGGGTCTCGGATCGGAGAAATGGACCCGGATCGGTGGCAAAAGGTGGTGGAACACCACCTGCAGCACGAAACCATGATCCGTTCAAACAGACGAGCAGCCCTGGCCTAATAGCGTTGGCCTCCAACCTAATAGCGATGGCCTCCAATCCTAGAATTCTAGGATTTGCCATACAATCCGCTCTCAGCGTTGGACATACCCCTGCCCTCAGCCCGCTGTAAAGTAAAAAACTCAAACCAAAAACAAACTAGAGATAGGTAGCTGTGACCAACCGTCAAAACAACCACCTCATGTCCCTGTCACAAACATCCATACAGAGGTCGAACGTCTGTTTTCGGCTCACATCTCTGGGTTTCCAGGCCACTTTCGGGTCAGCGATATTCCGGGTCCCTTTGAAGGAAGCCAATTGACCTTCGTAGGGCTTCATCAAAGCATCGACCTGTGCAGCACTCAAAGCAGCTCCGGAGAACTGGTAGAAGCTGCGCAAGCTGCGTGGAAGCGAATCTCATTTGACCCAACCATGTGCCCCAAGCACTTGCATCCACAGGCGTGGGGGATTGTTGAGGAACATGATCATGCATGAGTTTCCATGTGCATGAGTGCAGCAACAGTGGAGTGCTTTTACGACCTACAATGATCTGAATCCCAAGCAACCATCCATCGACGTAGGGTTCCTTTAGGCAACACATTCACTATTTTTTGCACATCCACTGATGAACACGAATCCGTTGCAATCATGAGCCAAACCGATGTAATCTCGCAATTAGGTCATTGGGTTGTAATTTGCTAGCTCCAAATTGAAGGGTTGGGTCGTTGAAATGCGCAAATATTTTGTGAGGTCGTGGGGTGCGCCGCACCCCACGGCGTGGCTGGAGCGCGGGCGCGGCAAAGCTGAAGGCCTGCCAAGAGCAGAGCCATCAGTTGGAACTCAGGATGTTTACGATCTCCAGGTCTGGTGAGTCTTGGGGCATTGCTCCAGTAATGCCAAACTATATACCCTAGGGCTCCAACCATATCCTCAGGTTCGGTGGTTAGACCCCCCTGGCACCCAGCCCTGGCCCATCTTCTCAGGAGGTGGGCCAGGAGCCCTAGGGATAATAGAGGGAGAAAGAAAGCGATATTTCAGTGACCCAATAAAAAGAGATCGCTCAGTGTTTGGTCTCGGAGCCCAAAAGTGTCGAAACCTCGGGCCCCCGACCGAAAAAGCGGTCGGAAGGACTGTTCAGCGGTCGGAGGGCCACCCGCAGAACATTCCACTGATCCCAACACAAAACGAGACCGCGAAACTGGTGTCTGGTAGGCCACTCGATCTGCAAGCCGCTCCGGCGGACCCCAAGTCAGAAACCACGGTTCTTCGCGGATGAAAACGTGATTTTCCTCAGGTCGCCTGTCATGTTTGTGTGGGCTTTTCACTCCTACTACTCATTTGTCTATTCGCAGCAGAAGGTACCGTGGTCTAGTGATATCTTCCGCGCTTACCTACCCCAGTTCTCTAGTTCGAACCTGCCCTGGCACACCTATTCTAGTTTAGCTGTGTTTGGTTCCAATCCCCGCCCCGAGATTGAACACAACTTGTCGTAGCCTAAAACATAAGTTGCCCACTGGCCCAGTGCCATGCCACAAACGAAGACGCCCAAGCAGGAACCTCAGGAAGACACTTCCCTGTGAGAACCAACTCCCTAGCTGGGCCCCAGATAGATACCCAGGTCCCATCGGGACCAGGCCCCACCGCACCTTCCAAGCAAAGGCGGCGCCACCAAGCAAGCCGCGGCCAAGAAGTTGGGAGTGGTTGTGGTCGGTTGTGGTTACAAAGAGGTGTTTGGCGTGGGGAGAGAGATGGTACCTAAAGGGGCCATAGAGGGACCTCACCCACGAGGGCGTCCCTGATCTCCAAATTAGGTCGTAATTTGGAGTGACGTCGGGTGAGGTCGCTATACTCTGACCAAATGTAATTATCCAATGAAGTTGTACCTCCTGCAAACACAAACCGTTGCCTGTTCTATATTAGCAAATGGTGACCATGAGCTCGCTCCCCATAACTCTTGGCTCAAACCCCACTTGGGATTTGAGCCGTCTTTATGAAGATGTATGAGTCCTGGCTCTTCCTGGTGAACCAACCGTCCCGTCTATTGATATCACACATTCTTGAATTTACAAAACTCACTCTAGTGGTCCCCCAAAAAGATAGAACATTAGTGGATCCCCACAGCTTCACCTTGTTCGGTTTTCTGTTGACTTCCCCTTCCCTTCGCATCAGCCGGGACACTGCAGCATCAGCGTTCCCAAAGTCGCCACCTTAGTCGTTCACTTGAGCGGCTTGTATGGAATGAGGGTGAGGCTGGCCCTGACCCGCTTGTTCTTGGAAGGCAGAACCACCAAGGGCAAGCTCATTCCCTACTGCACCTGTCAGATCCTGTCAGTATGTTTTTTTGAAGCCACCACCTTCAATCAACACTTCGATGAAGCCTAGCTGAAGAAACCCTGGAGCGCCCCCTTTTCCCAAGCAGCCTCAGCTGGACTCACCAAACAGAGAAAGATTGCAGAATCGGACGCAAATTCCCGAGACTCTCTGAAAAGAACTGAGTGTTCAAAGAGGGAGTTAAGTACGTTATAGCCATCTGTTTCAACTTGCAGGCCCGATGAACACCTCAAAACCAGTTTGCCAGTTTGCAATCACCACCGGTGTGACCGCTCAGGTTGACCGCCCAACACTTAGCCCAACACCGCACCAAACCAGCCCAGGCACCGAACAAGGGATCCACATATCGCGTCTTCAAGTCTCCCAGCCGTCCATGAGACCGCCGCGGAAACCTCACCAGGAGTCTCACCGGGTCACTGCTCTCGGGGGAGGTTTTGATGGTCGTTTTCCGCTGAGATGGATGATGGTCGTTTTGAAGCCCCAATCTGATGCGGACCGTTCACCGCCGAACCGGTTCTCGTATAAAGCGCGGTCGGATGAACACCAATGAAGTATTGAACTGTGCCGGGCCCCCTACTTTGGGGGTGTTTCCCCCTTCACCTTCCAGTCGTCTACTCAGTCGTCACTAGAAGGTCACGTAGTACATGTGCCACCTATTTCATGTACCGCTAGGGTTGGGACATTTATCCCATGCAAGCTCTTGCAGGTGAGTCTGACATTGCCTGGGGGAGGCTTGCTACCTTTCCAGAGCATCCATGGGATGGGAATAGTTACCTACATTGGGGTCATACATGGGGCCAATGCGTGTAACTATTCCATACATGGAGGGTCTGGAGTCGGGACAACCTTCCGCCAAAGAACTGCCAAACACCGGCCAACAGCCAACAGTGAACAGCAAACAAACCCGGCCAAAAGAAGTATCGCCTTCGGCCGCCTGAACAATATCACCATGAGGTATATGTATTACGTGAGACCGTCGGTTTAATCTATGACCCTTGTTGATCCTTGACGTATTATATCGTATGGTTATGTCTGGCACGCCAGCCATAAATACAAGGAGTCCACAAATATAGTTAGTAGGATACAGTAGGTACTTGGTCATGTATAGCTGCCCAAAACCGCCAAACCCAAGAAATATATCCCTAGGGCTCCAACCACCTCCTGAGAAGATGGTTGGGGTGGGTTTGGGGGGTCTAACCACCTTCTGAGGAGTCTGAGGATATGGTTGGAGCCCTAGGGTATATATATATATATATATATGTGTGTGTGTTTCTCACCATGGAACCCTGCGGAGAACAACACCACCACTGCTGGAAGAGCGAACTACCGGTCCAACGTGGAAGGTCCCCCGAAGGTCGGCGCTGCACCGGTGTTTGGACCGGCGCTGCACCGGTCCGAAGCGCTCGAAAGCCAACGGTGCCAAGCTCACGTTGATCCAGTAAGTCGGATAGACCATCCATGGGACTGGCATTATACAACACCTGCAAGTAAACCGCCCCTGGCCTGATCTATATTCATGATCTCCCAAACAGCTCGCGTCTCGCGTCCCACAAAAAGAAACCTTCACGTTCTGGGCCACCAGGGCATCCAGGGCACAGCCTCTCTCCCTTCAAGAACTCCTCCGAGCTCTGACGATCCCAGCCACCACCTCGCTCGCACCAAGTGCCCGACTGGGTGTGTGAGGGTGCGGACGAGGATGAGGTGCGGCAAGGTGGTTCTGTAGGTGTTCCGGTGAAATGAGATGGTGGGGGGCAACATCCCACCAAATGGGCAAAGCGCCACAGGTACATCTAGCTCTTCATACCTCTCACAAGTTTGGAGGCTGTTCCAATACCAAGAACTTCAACTCACCCAGCTTTAGATCGGCCATAAGCCTCTCAAGTAACTTCCCAGCCACTGCAACGGACCAGTTCTAGATTCTAGATCGGCCCATGAATCAGTTCAAGACCTGTTGAGTTTGTCTGGGAATGTGGTTTAGATTCTACATAACCTCTCTTATGAAGAGGTTGTTAAATTCAATCTCTCTCTCCCTCTTGCTCGCTCTCTCTCTCTCTCTCTCTCTTCATCGCCTTCAGATCGAGGCCTGCCAGCTAGGTTCAATTCAATCTAGTGGCCTCTTTAAAAAGTAAAAAAAACATATTCAAACCAGAGCAACCAATCGAAATACCAGGGCCCACTGGATGATTTTCTGCTTCAGAAACCAGGACTATCTCCCAAAACACAGGTGATCTCCGACCTTCAACCGACTGTTCCTGGGCATCCCTGGGCTCCACCCGTGTAGTCTACCGCCCCAGTGGCGTCGCATGGCATCCGCCAACGCGCGTCCCGCAGGACCCACGGAGCGGTGTTCGGGAAGACCGACGTCCTGGAAAACCGAGCGAGACGAACGCAGGGAGTTCGAGCCATAGAGCCCTATAGGGTGGTTAGGGTGGTTAGAAGCATCTCCTCAGGTGATCGGTGGATCTTCGACCCCCCCCCAGCATCCACCCACCCCTGGCCCTGGCCGAAGCGAAACGAAGGTGGGCCAGGAGCTCTATAGGGACTATAGCCTGTTCGAATCCAGGCCCGAACACCATCAGATAGGGTGATCTGGTTCGGCCATAGGATTACTGCGTGAAGGTCCGGTGTTCTGGATTTGGAGTGGGAGAACTTCCCCAAAGGGTCCAAAGATACGTGATCTGCAGGTGATCCACTGAACTGGGTAGGAAAAGGACTTAGAAGATTTCAAAATCTTCTGATCCAAGGCTGGAGTCCTGTACTCCACTTATGAAGCCAAAGTCTTGAACTACGGATGATGCTGCATCCCAAGGCTTCTGGATGCATTGAAAACACTGGGCCATCAAACAATTGATTAGGGCCGAGGGAATCACCAGCCTAGCACAATGCTTTCAAGTCCTCGTCCCTTTCCTTCTTTAATAGGTCTTTACGCAGCAAAAACAAAAAGGCCCGGCCCGGCCGCCAACAGGCGTGCGCAGGTCGCCCTGGCAAGGCTTCTGCAGCCCGGCTCGCGTTGCTCCTCCACGGTCACTTCCATCAGCACCTCCTGTGCCAGTGGCGCTTCTCCCAGCGCCGTGGCCGCCGCCAGCAGCGCGCGGCGGTCGGCGTGGCTGGGAGCCACGCCCAGCTTTCGGAGGAGCCGAAGGTTCTCCAGCGCCTTTGAGGTGTCCAACGGTGGGGCACACCATTAAGGTGCCAACAGAAGTGGCAGGTGGGGGATGTGTGAGTATAGTATTTGCTATAGTGTGATCAATGGCAGTGCGAAGGTGGCAGATCATGAACTCAAGGAGGTTGGTGGCAATGGCAGATCCTGCAGCTACGCTGAAACCTCATTCTGGCCAGAAGAACAGCATTCAGGGAGGGTCCAAGCATGGCACAAAAGCTTCCCAAGCGTTCCCAGTTCATTGCACCGTTTGGCCTCCAGTCGTACCTTCGAAACGACTGGAAGGTACGACGGTGGGTGGGTCCAGTCTGATCGAACCTGAGGAGGTACGAGATTGACTGGAGGCCAAACGGGTCCTGCTTTTTGTTCGTGTTCTTCCTTGTCGGGTGGCCAGCCGCAGCTCGTCCTCGGCACTGCCATCCAGCTCTTCATCCTCTTCAGGCGTGTCTCCAGCCCAAAAACCGCGAAGCCTCACCTCTAAAGGGGTGCTGAAGCTATCCCTAGGGCACAAGGGTGGAATCCACAGCTTTTTGAACAACCCAACGTTGCACCATTGCTGGTGCACACCTGAAAGTGTTCACTTGTCACTCTCAGCTGCTTTGAGTTGACTTCTTTTAGGCGTGCCTTCTAGCATTTGGGAATCCACAAATCACTTCCTATCATCGACATAGTCTGCGGTCCTGAGTCATGACATTGAGCTTGGCTCAGCCAGGCAAAAGAGGTCGCTCAAGTAGGGCAAGCATGAATTGCATGTTGGCTGTGAACATGCTTTTGGTCCTTAAACACCAGATTCCCGCGGCCTAGGCTCTTCAGCAGGATGCATTCACAACTTACGGTACCGATTACAGCAGTCATTGGATCACATCATGCACCAAAGCCACACACGCACAGATTGAAATTGATTTTAAAAACACAAACGACTGAGTATGACATATGACTGCCATAGTTCAAGATCTCCACCATTCTCCACCCCTTGAGTCGTTAGAACCCGTGTCAGGGCCATGCCGGTCCGGCCGGTCCTCCTCCTGTTCCGCCAACAGCTGCGCTTCCAGCCGCGTCGTCAACTCCTTGCCCAAGATCAAATCCTCGATTGGCAATGAAAAGGGGCTGGGGATGCTTGGCTTCCAAAGATTCCCCAACCAAACCAAGCATGTCAAGCCCCAAGCCGTTCCAATGAGGATTAAAGAGCAGAATTCGCAGAAACTGGAATGGAATGGGAACAAAGAACAATTCTATAACCGTTTCCCATCCGGGTACCATACAATGTCAAGTGTGGCCTAAAGCAGTTGAGATGGCCAGATTTGGACTTCTCGTGTTTTCCCTCACCACTTCATATTATGGGCCTTGTTCCTGAGAGTGACATCTGAAAACCATGGAAGTGAGCTGACCAGGTGCGTCATATCATCCCACCAGGTGCCCCAAAAACACCTGCGACTCTCCGCGACGTTCACCGCAGGTCCCGAAACGACTCGACAAGTCATGACCCCGGCACCCGGGTCAAGGAACACTGGCTGCTGGGTTGATCAGCTCGAAGGCTTTCTGCAGGTCCTGCGCCCCAAAATCCAGGATTCAGGGATGATTCAACATCCAACCCATCGATTTGGGCATGTGCTATCACGCAAACTCTGACGTTTAGATCAAGCATAAATGACCATGAACCGATCAGTCAGTGGAGCCCATGCATCTTGTGTAGCATTTTGTCGGTCTAGTCCAATGACGAGCCCGAGTTCACTCTATGGTTTTCTGGAAGAATCTTCAGGTTCTGCATGAGAGTCACAGCATATCAAGGGATCCCATCAAATGGAAGTTCTATGGTGTACCCCCCAAACAATCCATGGGACTTGCATATTTTCCTGTTTCTGACAGCCTATTCCCTGATTGTTGATACTGACCTGCCAATATCATTGTCATTATCATCCTTTAGCCTTCTGGCTTGGTCACTCGAAAGGGTGACACCATCTGCTGGGACGTCTAGAATATCGTCACGAACTCCCTGAGAAAAAAAACACAAATACCAGGGCCCCCCGCGTTCGGGTGATTGTGGACATCCCTTAACAACCCCTAAGGAGCTATAATTGAACACCCCTTACGGGGCCCTGGTAGAAGTTGCGTCACATGCTGCACGTCACTCCCCAGCGCCGCCAGTGCCTTCTCCGACATCTTCTGCACCGCCTCATGAAACTCCTCATCGGACAAAGGCACTTTGGCATTTCCTGAGCCAACACCAGGGGGAGGGAGTAGGATTATAGGCCACGTAGGAAAATCATAAGCATTCCCGAACAGTGAACTTATGAAAAGTGTCATGAAATATATATATATATATATGATGAACTATATAATAACTAAGATAAAATATGTATCTATCTGTGAACTTGGGAACGCTTCCAAGAACCTGTGGTGTACTATTGTATCTCTTCTTCTAGTTCGTCGTCTTTCGTTCGCCCCAGCGCGCGGTGCAACCGAGTCTCCCTTCGCATAGTCTGCTGCAACCTCCAAAGCCTACAGTCTTCCAAACGGCACGGTGGAACGCGCCGAACACGTGTTCTACCGTGATCTACCGTGTTCTACCGTGGTCCCCGGAGCCGAAGTCTAGATGAGAAGCTGGAGAAATGAGAAGCTGTTGACGAAGTGCAAGGTATTCTGAGAAGGTACTTGGATAAGTGATCCCCTCCCTCCAACAAACACCAAGTCCTTGCATATCCGGACGTTTCGGTTCGCAGACTTCTTCAACACTGGGTTCGCAAAATGAAACTAATCCCTATAGGGCTCCAAGTACCTCCTCAGAAGGTATTTGGACCCTCTACGCCCACTCCAAACACCTTCTTAGAAGGCACGACTGGAGCCCTAGAGCCCTAGGGAATCTTGATGTCTTGGAGCCCTAGAGTCATGTGCATTCTTTCTCATCCTCCACAACCCATCAGTCGGATCCCTGATCAGCCGCAACACATATGAGACTCCCTGGCTTCTTCAGTCTGTTTCACACCGACGTCTGGGAGCGAGACGAGAGAAACCTACAAACCCCTCCGGGTCCCGGGTTCGCGCGCGGGTTAAAGGGACGGAAACGGATCAATCAACCACTGAAAGAAAAAGAAGCAAAGCCCCCAGCACCGAACCCAACAGGTCTCCGAAATGGAGGGTTGGGAAGGGCCCTAACAGTTTATGGTGACCTGGTTTCAGTCGGTGCTGGAAGAGGACAAACAGAAAGCGGCCCTGGCAGGTCCATCTTGGCAAAAGCTTCCATCTTCGTGCCCGATGCGCCCAGTCGAGATGTCATGGGGCGAACTGCGGAGTTGGGCGTCCGGTGACCAAGCATGCACACAGCAAGAATCGATGCCTGGAAGACTTTGATCTTAGACAGTTTCATGGCTTTCAGCTTCTCCATCGGAATTGTCGAGAGCTCCTCCCCGTGTCGTCAATACGTGTCGTGATTGAAATCGACGTCATGGGGAAGCGGAGAACGATTTGGCCGTGACACGTGGACCTGGAGTTTTTAGGGGGACACGACTCAATCCCTAGGGCTCCAAGACCTTCTCAGAAGGTGTTTGGGGTGGGTTCAGAGGGTCCAGATACCTTCTGAGGAGGTACTTGGAGCCCTAGGGAATGGAAATCAATCGAGGAAAGGACAAACACCATGCCGGGACATTGTCGCAGTTGATGAGCGCTCGCTGGTTCATCCTCACTGACCCCCATGAAAAAGATCGAGTCAGTATTTTCCACACACACACACACCTGATGACTGTCCTTCAAGACACTAAGATTCCCCAAGTTTAGAATTACACATTGAGACTGCTTGCACCCTGGCCACTGGCCCAACGGCTCCACAGGCGGACCTTGGTGCAACGTGCTCTGGCCCAGGGATTGCGGCGGAATGGTAAAAAGGATGTAAAAGGCATTTGTTTCAGAGTTGCACAATGTGTTATCATGTGTTCAGACTGGGAGGAGTGTGTCGTCCCTTCGGCTTTAGTGCTGGAAAAGGGCTTCAGCATCAAGTCATTGCACGAAGATGCTCGATTTGGATTGATTGATGAGCCACCAATGTTCCTTCACTTGATGGAATCTTGATGACATTTCGTCCAGCAGCACACAAATGCTTGGGTCCATTTTTGGCAAGGTCTTCACTTGTCTACCCTCCTTCCAATGGAATTTGTTCCGGCGGGGATGTGGATGACCTCCAACTAAGAAAGCATATACATGGATAATCTCGCAGCCTTCAAGAGACTATCGTGCAAAGCACCACCTCTGGCCACCTGTGGCGCGCCCGGTTCACGGCTCCTGGAACAGCTCATCCAACTCCTCTCGTCCGAGACTCTTCAAATCCTGGCGCGCAGGGCAGGGCCAGGCGGAGCAGGAAAGCGTCGATTTGCATGGGCTGGGCCAGACTCAACTGCGGCTGAATCTGGTGCAAAAAATCGGCAGAAACGCAGCTGTTCTCTCTCAAAGGGACATTTGTATAAAAGGTTATACCAAAAATGGGTTTGGGGATCCACTTTTAGTTGTATGATGTTCAAGGCCCTTGCCCTTACCACCGCCCTATGAAGACCCTGAGAATGAGCATAAAACCTGTGCCAAGGATGATTATCTTCATCCACCATAGTTGGCGAACATTTGTGTGAAAACCACAGAAAGAGCAAAACAAGCAGCACCAAAACACCAAGCCTAAAGCTGGCAAGTGAATGCCGGACTCCTTTGCGTATTAGGAGCCATTCTCCACCCTGGTTTTACCCACAAATGCCTTTGGGTCTATCAACCAGGGCCCAGTGGATGATGATGGTTCAGTTCCAGGCCTTTCTCCTGGTTCTTTCTCCCTTACCGACTGACAGACTCATGCTTATAGGAAATGAGGGTCGAATGAACCTGGTAGAAACCACCCTGGTATATAGATACCTGAGGATCCATTCCCTTCTTCCTTACTTTCGTCGACAAAACAGTCAGCTGTTACAGGTCAGTTCCTGTGCCCCATTCCGATCACATCTATTCACATCTTCACACCCCTCATACCTATCACCCATCATCACTCGTCCACGAAACACCCCCACCATCCCACCAGGGGGGCAAAGGTTCCCATCCAAAGCGCATCGCGTCGCATCAAGCGCCCGGCATCGCCTGCTGCGCCAAGTGAGCAATCAAGCCAGGCTCCGCGCCGTCCAACCACTCCTTGATCTCACCTGCGCAAGTCTTCATGTAGACTGACCCTTGATTCGTGATACTGCCCCATGAAGACGTTTTATATTCCAACATGTTCATGGTTTGCTAATCAAACATCGATACATTTATACGGATGCTGGTGCACTGCGAGTTTCTCGGATCTTTCATGCGAGGACACGGTCGTGACGCGATTGCTATCGACCTATTTTCGACATACATGACCTATCTGGACAGTTTTGCGCGCGGCGAAGAGGTGTGTTGTGATACCGAATTCTCATTCTGACGCCAAAAGCGGGCGAAAGGTGATCAGCCAGTCCTTGTTGCGAGGCGCTTTTGTCGTGTGGGTGACCCTCCACTGGAGGAAAACAAAGAACATGTTCCGTCGGAAATGCCATGTTTTGGATCGCTGCTTCCAAAGCCTCCTGCACCTCCATGATCATTCCAAATCATGTCATACAGCCCACATCTGCAGAACAAGGCACTGTGGCGGAAGGCGAAGGTGACAGGTTTGGTGCCCATCATGATCTGGGTACTCTTCCTCAGCAACGTGCGAATGGCGGCCAGCGCCACGCAGCCAAGTATCCACACCCCAAGTGCCGGTGCTCGGGGTTTCACTCACGGCCTTCATGCGGACGACCAGGACCGCAACCCGAAGCACCGATCGGGTAAACTCGGATCCACTCCCGAGAAGCAACCGAGAAGCTCTGCCAAAAGAGCCTCCTGGCGGTGCAGCGAAACGGGCAGAGCTTGCAGCGAAAAAAACGCAGGCATTGAAGAGAGCGCCTGTGCGGTGGTCTTGCAATGAGGATCTTACAGGGCTAAAATGGGTTGAATACGATTGAATGTATGGTCGCCATCATCACTGTTGAAGAAAGGGTGAAAGCTGTCAACCAAAGCTTCAATGCAATCGTCCATCCACTAGTTCCACTGGGTTCAGATCTTGGATCAAGCCCTTCACTAGAAAAGCCTCGAAGTTCGCAGTTTCTTGTCAGTTCGCGCGAACGAGATGCCCGGAGCTTGATCTTCCACTCTCCTTGAGTTGCTTGGTGCTTTTGATGTTGGTCCGGGAGGATGTGGGGAAGGCCTTTTTCACCACGTCTGCATGGTAGCATCCTGGGCACGGCAAGGAAGTGAGGTATACGGTGAGTGATGCCGTCGGAAACCGGGAAAGAAGCAAAGCATGTGGTGCCTTTTGGAGTCAGCCTTAAGAGCCCAGGATTTTTCCTGAACTGCTCTAGCACAGGTCCCTTCAAATCAATTGATGGAACTACAGGTTGTGAGCGCCAAATGCTCTACCAAGCGGAAAAGCAGTAGAGCTCTACTAAGAGAGATGCTGCTTAAATATTCGTCACCAATGATTCGAATGAGCAGGGTTTCCGCTGGAGGGGCGTCCGGTCTCAAACTTATATGTTGTGAAGGCGCAGGTTACCAGGTTTAAAGAAGAATTGAATCCACAACTCTTGCAAGAAGAATGGGGACTTGTTGAACCAGGTCTTTCTACCCTCCAAAAGCGAGCAGCACCTGCAGCTTTCATCATATCACACTCTTAGGGCTGATTGTCAGAGCCCGCTTTGACCACTGACCACCTGCTAAAAATCCTTGCAATCGTCCTGGCGTTGCCTAAGGTATGCTTTCCAATTTTTGTTGAAAGATGGTGAACGCTGTCTATTACATCCGTGGATTCGCAGCCCCCCCATTAGAATGCACACTCCGCAGCCTGACCGGAAGGACCAATTCGTGGATGCCACTGGTACAGCAAGTAGTGCTCCGGCGAGTGGGCCCCGGCGAGTCTTCCCAGGATCCCATCCGGCTCAGTCGAAAGAGGTGCCCTGAAGCGCTAGACCCTACGCACCCGGAACCTCCAAAGTGTGGAAAAAAATGTTCTATATAGTAGCCACTACAGTAGCTATCGCCTAGGGCTCCAGTCGTACCTGCGTTTCGAAGGTGGGGCTGGTGTGTGTGTGTGTAGGAGGGTCCAGTCATACCTTCTGAGGAGGCACGACTGGAGCCCTAGGGATCTGCAGCCTACCGCATCCTACTGCTACCACCGAGCTACGTCAGCCATGCCAAACCTTGAAGCTCCATCTATACAGCCAGGCTGATGCACACACCTGTCGACGGTCATGTCTTTTCTCCGTCTCCCAGTCCCTCAGCTGCACACCTATGTACTCTCCCTGTAACTCACATGGAAGTGGAAAACCCTCTGTTTGTAGAAGAAAATAGGACCATTTGCCACTTCCATATTAGTTCCAAAGTGTACCACACCCAGCCCATCCCTTCATCTTCGCCTTCGCTCCGACCGGTCTAGGCTAGGACGTGACTCGAAAGCTGCGCGGCTCCGGCAGCAGCACCACCGGGCGGCTTGCGTCGCGGCCATCGCCGCCGAAAGGCTTCGGTGGCTCCTGGGCACGGAGACTGGCCGGAGGCCGGGAAGAAAGGGATCCGTTGGCGTTTCTCCCAGGAGAAGTGGTTTCTTTTTGGCGTTCATGTTTGAATATTGACCCCCCAAAAAAATAGAAACATGAGTGGTGGGCAAAAGAAATCTGCGTGTCCCCAATGCAAAAGTCAAAAAATAGTTTGGGTTGGCCCCTGTTGGTTTCCAGTGCTTTGGAAGGCAAACAGTAATCATAAGCTACCTTCAATCAAGGAAGGGTATTTGTATGGTATTGGTATATATTGGTATAGGGTTGGCCCCTATTTGTTTTGCAAGGTTCTGATCAATTCGGAATTACATAGAAATACATAGAAGATCCCTACATATTAATAGGGGAGGACCAAAAAAAATGTCAGTTACATTTTCCCTGGGGGGGTATGCAAAGTGAACCTTAAAAATGTAAGCTTGCATTTTTCCTGTAAGTCCTAAAAAAAGGTTAGCTACGTTTGGTTTATATATCCCCAAAAAATGTAGCTTACATTTTTTTGGTTTGTTAGAATGTGAACTGCATATCCTGCATGACATCTAACCCTCACACTGAATGCGCACAAACTATACAAAAAAAACTAATGTCATGATCTCTGATGACATCTTGTGCCGTTGAGCCGCTGATTCAGCCAAGCAAACCTCATTGTTTTAGCATTATTTCTTACTGCTTCTTGCTTCTTCTTACCTCATTGATTTTCACACGGGGGGCAGAAAATGTAACTTAGGACGTGGGACGTGGTAAGTTACATTTTCTCCAGCCCCCCCTCAAAAAAAATCTAACTGACACACACCAGCCAGCACCTCATTTCCTGGACAATTCCCAGGAACATGCACGCAGTGACATAGCCAGACACAGCAAAAATCTGGGGGGGGGACCATGAATATGGCCTCTACTTGAATAAGTAGGGCCCAAAACGAGGGGGGGGTCAACATACATTTATGGGGTCTCCCGGAAATTGTAAGTTATATACATTTTTTAGGTCCCCCAGAAGTGTACCTAAGAGGGTAGGGATCATAGAAGGTTTGTCGGATGCTCACATGACAGATCATAAGAACTTTTCTTTGACTTCTGGGGGGGCTTGCTCAGATCATTTCTTACCCCTGGAGTCTGTCGCACAAGGGGTGAATTGTTGAGTTTTGGCACCTACCCGGGAGAATCTCAACGCCGAACAGCTAGGACGCATCCGCGCATGGCCCTTGCTCTCAACAAAGGGGAGGGCTTATGGAGGACTCTAATTGAGCTGGAATTCCAACTGGGGATGTATCTCAAACATTCTCAACTGACTCCTTCAACTTGGACATAGTTAAAGGTTAACCTTTTTCTACCTGTTCCATCTGCCTTGTCCTGTCTGTGAGACGGACGCACTGCTGACTCACAGGTCGAGCAGCACAAAACCAGTTATACAAAAGAGCAAAACCCCGAAACGAAACGAATTACGAACCGCACCGACACAAATCAAACTGCCACGAAGTGAGGGATTGTCCACATCCCTCCAACAAGATGCCAGCAAAGGACTCCAGTTAATCACTTTTGATCAAAGGCCGGGCACCATAGATGGCGCCCTTGGGAATGGCTTTCTCGCATTTGTGGATGAGAGTGGAGCAATGTTCACCTGGGATGAGATCTTGATCTCCACGTTGAAACAGTCTTGAACAAACACGTTTCAGAATTTTCAAAACCGAAAGGAAAGTGGCAGTCGGTGCCGGTGTTGCTTTGAGTGTGTATCCTCTTCGGCAGAAGAGAAAAGTGATCTCAACGTAAGCAACACTCTGCGCAGGCCCCACGCACCACCGGAGGGATCTCAAAAAATTGTAAATGGTTTGCGCATCCGTCTGGGAAGTCAAAGTCCCAATGAACTGCAATGCCTTATGACAAGAACCGGGTATCCAAGAAAACTGTCTTTCATCGGGGGCCCAATTCCAAGCAGGGAATCGCAGCCTGACACCCGCTTCACCGTTGTTTGTTTGCTTCTCTTCTTTGGTTTCGAAAAATGCATCATCCTCAAGGAAGGTGAGCAGTACATACCAAACTCATCCTCAGGCTCCGTACTTACACCCACTTTTGATCTTCTTTGACCAAATTTTGCAAACTGCGTACCAAAGATCATAACCGAATGGCTTGGTGTCATACTGCTCAAAATCTGGTGGTCGAATGACAAAGGAGTACACATACTCTGCTTGACGGGACCTGAGCCACTCACTGAGATCAACTTTGTCTTTGCCTGAGACGAAGTGTGCAAACGGAAGTGTTTGGTCAACCTTTTGAGCATTCGCACTCGCAGCCTGCAACAATGACAACGGCAGAAAATCCGCCCCAGCTGCAAGCTCATCTCTTGACAAATAGCCTCTACCACCATTGGCATTGATATGACCAAGTGAGTAACCACCCACACATGCAATCTTCCATGCCCTGCAATTTCGATCCAACTCTAGACCTGCAATGTCTGGCGGATTCATTGGGAACCAATCATTGCACATCAGCAGCCCAGTTGGATCATGATAAGGTCCAGGAATCATATCATCTGCTGTGCTCAAATCAAACAACTGGGATATCAGATCGTTCACAGAAGCCTCAAAATTGGTGCTCCCACTGCGCATCCTTTCTCGCAACATCATAATGCGATTGGCAGCTTCTGTCGATTTAGCAGGATTCACTGAAAGCGAATGGCAGATGAAATCCCAAGCCTTTTCACTTGGCATGAGCGATGTCATCAAAGCTTGCTCAGCCGTTGCTCTATACAAGGCCAAAGATGCACGAGCAAGCACATAGCTCCGAGGTGGAAAATGAACCATCTCTCCAAACTCCTTTGGCATGCTGATCGACTGCTGAGTGATTCCATTGTACAACATGCGTCTAAAGCGCTGAGTATCTGTGAATGCTCCTCCAACAGGAAAGTAACTGCGTCTTGTTGCAAAGCAAACACCAAAGTCTTCAGACGTCAAAGAGAACTGTTCTTCCAAAGTTGCTGTTTTGCGAGCAACCAAAGTGAATTCAAGCATTCTCTGAGCGATCTTCTCACCCATCAACAACATAGGTGTTGTTGAATGGTATTGATGATGCACCATAGATTGGAACTCTCCCAGCATTTCAAGCACCAAGCTTGCAGGCATACGACAAAGAGCTTCCGCAAATCAGGTCTGCTTGCACCGAATTTGAATTTGCATCAATCCTTCTACCCACTACAAGATCTTGGTGCTGGACGTTCGGACTTGCCCTCTGCTCACAAATTCTTGAACTACCTAAGAATCCTTCCAGATTGGCATGTTGCACATAATCACCTTGATGCACAAGGACATTGATTTCTTGCACAACAAGCGGCCATTGGACCATACATCCGAGATGCACAGCTGGGGCTCCATCATACTCTGCAGGGAACTTCGTGCTCTTGCCTTCATGACTGCTTTTGAGCTTCATCGAAACTGTCAGCTGATTGTTTGCATCACCAGCTGACTGGAGAACATGAGCCCCAAGCCCTATCACTTCCAGCTCCCTAGCACTCTTGTTCAGCTTGAACTTGCTTTCTATCCTTCCACTGGCAAATGCCATGTATGCCAAACCAGCAACTCTCTTGACTGACAAACTCTTTCCGCTCGGCAACGTTGCTGTCTTCCTGATGATTTCGCTAGCAAGCTTGAGTCTCTTGATAAATTGGTCGTGATCTGCAGCTCTGCTTGCTTTCGTGAACCGCAATATTTCCATGACATCTTCGGTCCATCTGCATAAATCATGATACTCAAAGTCACCAGCTTGTGCAAACTAAGACAATATGTCCAGTTATTCATCAATTCCACAATGGCCCTTCTGACATGCAATGGCCCCTTCGTCACTATAGCATGTAGATCCCGCAGATTGAACAAATCTGATTTCTTGTCATGTTCAGACACGTAACGCAAGCCTGATGAGATCAAATGTCTCTCAAAATCAGGAAGCTTCATTCTTGCGAATTGTGGCATATTCAACTTTCAAAAAACCACTGCACCTTCTTGCATTTCACCAATGATGTCTTTCAACTCACTCCGGCACCTTACACTGTCAACGATGTACGGTGCCATGCCAAACAGTTCGGTGCTTGTGCTCATTAGATCTTCAGCATCCGAAAGCAAAGGGTAATCAGTGCTCTTCTCGTTCAAATCTTTCACTCATGATCACCCTGCCGCCCAGCCATCAGCAGATCAGCCAGCGGATCAGCGGATCAGCTAGCGGATCATCGGATCAGCCAGCGGATCAGCGGATCAGCCAGCGGATCAGCGGATCAGCCAGCGGATCAGCGGATCAGCCAGCGGATCAGCGGATCAGCCAGCGGATCAGCGGACCAGCGGATCAGCCAGCGGATCAGCGGATCAGCCAGCGGATCAGCGGATCAGCCAGCGGTTCAGCGGATCAGCCAGCGGATCAGCGGATCACCGGATCAGCCAGCGGATCAGCGGATCAGCCCGCGGATCAGCGGATCAGCCAGCGGATCAGCGGATCAGCAGATCAGCCAGCGGATCAGCGGATCACCGGATCAGCCAGCGGATCAGCGGATCAGCCAGCGGAACAGCGGACCAGCGGATCAGCCAGCGGACCAGCGGATCAGCCAGGGCATCAGCGCATCAGCCCGCGGATCAGCGGATCAGCGGATCAGGCAGCCCAGCGATCATAGGTCAATTTTTTCTCAATTTCAGACTGCTGTCTGTCCTTGAACCTCTTAGTTGGCAAGTATTTTGGCTTCTCATCAATCAACAAAGTTTCGGCCGCGCGCACGAACCATGCGAATAGCTTCATTGAGCCTATTCGGAACATGATGCCTTTTTCTACCTGTTCTTGTTTAGTGGGGTGTCCCCACTCCCCCCAAAAGGTTATCCGGTTATCCACTGACAGGGTATCTCAAACCAATCCAGGGTGCTCGGGGAACTTGGAATTCGCGTCCTTGGAAGACCAGGTCACCACGCCCCGCACGCCCCAACAACGCCCCAACAACGCCCATTGCGCACGGATCAAACGCGCAGGGTCTAAGCTTCCAAGGCCACGGCGGACGGCAAATCAAACGCCTCCGCATCGGAGCCCAGCCTCTCTCGTGCCTCAAAGTGTGACTACCCTCCAGGTGTCCTGGACGTCCACACGTGGATCTTCAGAAGTGACCAGTGAGGTGACCAGTGAAGCGAAACAATTCATCATGAGTTGTTTTTTGGGTTTCATAAGGGGGGGCCTTGTTGTTTGGGTGGAACGGTGGAAGGGGTTAATATCTCATGGAACGCATTGGAAGAGCAACGCATTTCGTCCAAGCCGAACGACGATGAGATGCTGTGGTCACAGTATGTCACACTTGGACCAACTCAAGAGTAGGCACCCGCACATGAATCAGGTGGAGCCCTCTTCAACCTACCTAAGATTAATTCGGCGCCGCGCCTCTCGACCGCATAGCAAACGAATCGGCACCCACAACTTTGTGTCCGTAAATCTTCAAGTTCCTTTTCAACGTGCAAAAGTGTTGGTAGCGTGAGGTATCAAGATCGCGAAAGAACCGTGCTTCCCCTCTACAAGTGTATGGAGAACCGCTTCAGATTTACAGCACACTAAGCAAACTAGAAGCACATTCTGCACATTTCTTCATGCACTTGATGTCTTTCGTGCTTCATGTTGATTCATTTTGCCTCCTATCTTCTCCGCTGGCCAAACGGCCTGGGCTCGAACTTCTGTCGTACCAAGCGGCTGCTGCCTGCGCTGGTGTCTGGCCACCCCACTGCGCTTGCAGTCCCAAAGCGCCGTGGTCCATGGAACGCAAGGGCGTCAACCATGCACGCTCCAGGGTCCTTGGAGCGTGGCATGCAGGGCTGGAAGAAGAATGCATCCCCGTAGAAACGAAGGAGTTGTTAGACACACAAACTCTCTTCCTGGTGTGGAACTCTCAAATGTGCGCAGGAGCTTCCTCTTTTAATGCTTATCTTTATCCTCAAACGCCATTGGTTCGGGTCCCGGTGCCCCTCCAAGGGATTCGGGTACGGCCCGAATACAGAACCGAAGGGGCCGAACCGGTCGCGTCTATGGTCAAGCAGGGCTCGGAGGTCCAAACACCACGAGCTTCTGCCGGAAACGGCCACGATCCCAACCACTGGACTCGAGGGTTTGGGCCGGTGTTGCGTCCAAGTCTCGTATCTGGCGCGAGGTAAGGGTACCACTGGTACCTGGGAAAGTGATGGAAAGTGCACATGTCCCTATAGCATAAATAGTCATGTGAAACTGCCAGTCTAGCAAAGCATGATCCTCAAGAGGAAAGCAACATAGGGACACTCTGAAAGACAACAAACAACTATACAGGGAACTAACCTCTGACTCTGGGTCATGAAGCTGTGTTTCTTCAAATCGGGATACAAACGTAGCTGTCCACATCCCAGTGCCATGGGCCCACAAAAGCCTTAAACGGGGCCAAGGTCATCCATGCAGTGGAACTTCCAAAGCGTCAACGGGATTGATACAGGCATTGTATAATGATCGAATCATAGTCATAGTCATACCCAAACACGACACATGGGACTGCCAGTCTGGACTGCCGAGAAACGGCCAGGGGTGGTTTTTTATTGGTCAATGGGGCGGCAGTCCTATGGCAGTCCCATGGAGTGTCTGGGATAGTTGTTCTTCCGGGTGGCCTTCTAAGGTTCCACAAGTCCAAGAATCCAATGACTTCTTCCAAGCCTCCACAGTGATTGAGTACATATGACATGACAACCCAGCCATTCCATGTCATTCCCAACTTATATATATATACAGTATACTATATATATATATATGTACATCCAAAGAGTTTTCATCCCAGTCCCTATTCAAACCACTGCTGATGATTTGAATCAGAACAATTGGGCTCCTGAATCCCTCTGTTTGGATGGTGGGGTGCGGTTCTTCACAGTGGAGTCCGGCCAACGAACACCTCAACTACAACATCACATGACATGGCCTAGGCCTCCTGGCCCACCTCCTGAGAAGATGGGCCAGGGGTGGGTGCCAGGCGGGTCGAATACTGAGCATATGGGACAGGAGCCCTAGGGATCCTTGAGTGGAACATCTGCTTGTTTCCATTCGCAGTCTTCCAGGCCTCATGCTGGCGGGTTTCATAGGAGACCCCCAAATACATGAACCTCACAGATAGAGAAAAGCGGATGGGTCAAAGATCTTCATGATGTCGCTGTGTCGGTGTGAAAAATAAACAAAGAGTTTCATGATCATTTTCAGGGAGAGTGAACATCAAAGAGCTTTTAAACATCTGTATGTCAAACATGATGGTTTCTCAATCGCCTCATCTCATCCTTTCGCCACACCCTTTTGCCCAGATGCTTCTCATGGCGGGAAGACTCCTGCCGCTTCCAATCCTCAGCGAATTTGGCGAATTGGGCGAAGCCGCCAAGCCACGCCAACCCGCCCGTGGAACGCGTGGCAAGTCGAGCGACAAGCTCCTGCAGTATCTTGAAGTGGTTTTGACTGGATCTCAATTCTAGTCAAGAACCACTGTGGCAGCTGCTCTCTCCGTATTCCTGCCGTACATATTGAAAGTCTTTGAACTTTAAAAACAATAACAAGTGGAGATGGATTGCAGGGTGAGACATGCTGGACGTACGGCTCGGTGATATGATTTCAAGTGACAGGCATGTATACCTGATGCAAGGGCAATTCTGCAACATCCTGCGGGTCACCCGCTCAAACACTATTTTGGAACCACACGACTTCTGAAAACCATCCCAGCAATCTGGTGCACTGGCGGATGAACAACCTCTGTATGTTCATAGTGAAGAACTTGCTTTGACCTATGAAAACCGACATCCAACAGGGAATCTTGCTCCACGCAATGAGGGAATGACCCCCCCACTCTAGAGATACTGTACCTCAGCATTCATTGTCCCACATTCCTTAGCACCAGCCTTTCTTCCAGCCAATCAGCCTTTCTCCGAACAAAGGGCTGACTGCTAGGCCGGTCAGGCGCCAGATCCGCATCCCGACCTGTTCCTCCCAGCGTCCCACTGATCGGCGACGGTCACGGAGAGTGGTTTCATCTGGACGTCAGAGGCCTCCAAAGCCGGAGGGCTGGACGTCCCAAACCGCCCAAGGAGAGCGGGATCCGGAGGTCGCGGGATAGAGATTGGAGAGCAAAGCCCCTGACTTGTGGAGCCCCCCAAAAATGGGTCATAATCTTCAAGAGCGAGGAGTTCCAATGTAGCACCATTCACAAGATGATGTGTCGTATCGCAACAGATTAGGGTACAACATGATACAACCTCACAAGCACGGGCGCCAGTGTAAAAGAGAGCTGGACCTCGGAAAATCGCCTGTGACCCAGCAAAAGGAGTGAGGACTGGTCTTAAGACTGGTCAGAAGCACTCACTCCCACTGAGAGTCTCACGCAATTCGTCCCACGAGCCACGGTCAAGATTGCTATGATCAGGGTTCAGGTGAGTGTGTCGTTGTTGTTCAGGTGGCGCTATGTTGAGTGTATTGATCTGTTTTTTTTTGTCAGCTGCAACCTGCGTTTTGCCTCTCTCTACTGCTTGTGTCGTCTTCCGTGATGGTCTACATACAAATCATGGGGCGAACGGGGTCCTGTTTGGGCTCTGGGAGTTCGTCACTTCACGGCAAAAGCCGAAGGCCCAAGGCCCGAAGGCGTATTTACTGCTCAGAGTGACATGGAGTGGAAAGCCACCTGTTTGTAGAGAAAAATGGTCTACCTACCGGGGGCTATGTGTCCACTTCCATTAAATGTTTGAGCAGGGAGTGGTCAAAATTGGTCTTATGTGTTGGTAGCCAGTCGCCTTGCTCTGTTTTGTCTTAAGGGGTCATCAAACTGGTCTCAAGAAAGGTCTTGCTTCTGCCTTTGGGAGTCCATCCGTTCGTACGTACATGGGCTTGAAAAGGGCCCCCATCCTGGTTCAGAAGCCTCATTTCTATACGAAGCTCTCTGCCACCAAAACTGACAAACCAAGGCACATGTGATGCTGTTTATGATACCCTAGGGCTCCAACCATATCCTCAGAAGGTGGTCAGACCCCCCAAACCCACCCCAACCATCTTCTCAGGAGGTGGGCCAGGAGCCCTAGGGATATGCTTGTTTCCATGGCCAAGTGGAACCCTGTGGCTCTCCTCTCCGTCTTCGTCACATCGCCGGGGCGCCCAGGTAGAGCGGCGTCGGAGGAGCTCGGCGGAGGGCTCCAGCCAACAAGTGCACAGGGTGCGGCCGCAGGTGGAGCCGGACAAGGCGACCTCGAAATTTCGAGGTAGACGGCCATTGACTCTGCAAAAGAAACTTCAAGAAACGCGGGACTCATGCAAAATCACCCTGAACCACCTCACCCATCTCCACCCCTGCAGTGTCCTGCAATTCTTTCAAGCACTTCCACTCCCCACCCTCACCCCCCCCACCACTTTTCCACTCTATAGCCCCAAGGCGCCGCAGCCGTCTCCGGCGGCAGCGTCGTATCGCCCTCGAGCACGCACTGGAGGAGGCGCTTGAGCGCCAGAGCGTGCCCGGCGATGGCCAGGGCACGGGCCAGCTGCGAGAGCAAACTGAGCGTGTGAGGCTCCTGCCGTGAGCTGCTCAGCGAGGGAGAAAACCACGCGGCGAGCGACAGCCGAGCACGGCTCGGGTACGGGTGACGCTGGAAGACCAGAGACAGGGTCCAACTGGACGGGGGACGTGGTGGACGGTAGTGAACAAAAACCGTGGGGGAGCTGCGTTGGAGGCGACACGATGCCCCTGGCAATGTCACGTGGCACAAACTGGCCTGAGGTTGCGAAAACGAACCACCCCGTGTAGAGGCACCTGGTATGGCATTGGGTCGAGCTGCCGAGAACAACAAAGCAACAACAACAAAGGAACAGCAACAACAACAACAACAACAACAACAACGAAACAAAAACAAACAACAAACAAAAAACAACAAACGACAAACGACAAACAACACACAACAAACTAAACACAACAAACAAAAAACAACGAACAACAAACAACACACAACAAACAACAAACAAAACACAACAAACAACAAACAAAACACA